AGAACAATAAAGGAAATAAGACATATAGAAGGTATATAGTAACAATCTTAGTATAGACAATAGCCCTACTAGCTATTACTATCGGCAGTAAGGTCGACAGCGTTATTGCCGCTATCTTCGTCTATATTGTCGCCGCTATTGCGAGTATATTCAAAGTCGCCTTGTAGCTTAAATACCTCCTTTAGTATGTCCTATAGATCTATATAACTGTCGTCTATAAGCCTATCGTCGTCTAGTTAATACTTAATACGTAGATTCTAGTAGATAAAGACTAACTTCTCGAGTATATTGTAACTTAATCTATTGCGCTTAAGTAACTAAATAAAGCTATAGGCTAACTAGTTGCGCTTAGTAGCGCTAGTTGTTAGACAGATAGACAATAAGAGTATATAGAGGTCGGTAAGCTTAGGGTACGAGTCTCGGAAGTTATTAGCCTACTATAATAATAGTGTCGGACTCTTGCTAGCCGCCTATATAATAGGGTTACCGAATAGACCTTGTCGGCTACGGAGCATAAAGATATCGTTTAGAAGTTGTCTGGCTCTTATATAGATCTCGTCCTTCGACTCGGAGTAGTTAGGGCAGGTAGTAGATATACGTTGCTAGTTAGCGTAGTATTCGACGAGGAAGGGGGTAAGAGAGCGGACCTCTTCGTTAGTAACGAAGAGGAACTACTTGTCGGGGTCGGAGCGCTCGGAGACATTAGCGAGATAGGCAATTAGCATAAGAGGCTAATAACTAATAGCGTTGTTAGTCTAGTAGAAGGTTTAGTGTAGTAGCTAACCTATAGCTTCTCCTATCGCATTTCGATATAGACTTCTATTTCCTTATTCGAGACGAAGTTTAGTGCTTTGTTAACTACCGCATTTATTAGCTAGCGCTAGTTGCTATAGACATGTAATAGCTTAGGTCTGTCGGCCTCGAGAGCGATAGTAACCTTAAGGAATAGCTCTATAAGGTCGTAGTAGCTAAGGAAGGAAGAAGTTAGTTGTAATAGGTTAAAAGCAGGCTTTAGCACTTACCCTCTTAGATTACGCTAAAATTAGCCCTCCTTATATAACTTATATATTTCTAACTATGCTGTCCGTTACGCAGAGGTCGCTCCTACTAATAAGCGACCCTCGTAGTATATACGAAGCTCCTCGATCTAGTATTTATTAATAAGGACGCTTCTATAGTAATACAGGTCGGCTTGCTAGCGGACACCTCCGAGGACCTAAAAATGCCGTACTTTGCCCTTAGAGATGTCTAGTAGTATTTCGAAAGCGAGGTTAGTATATTTAAAGTACTCGGCGATAGATTTAGCGTCGTTAACGATGCGTCTAATGCTATTTAGACCTGTTTAGAAGGAATAAAGGTCGGAAACTAAGAGCTACGTAAAATAGGATGTATATCCTAATCGGATTAGCCCTAGATGCTACCGGACGCACTAAGACTTATTAGCGCTTATCTATTAGTAGATCGGGACTTTCCGCGAGGGGCAATTACTAACCTTAGATCTTCGAAACATACCTCTTCTATTGCCGCCTTTATTACTAACGCATTATTAGTAACTATACCGACTACCTTGCCCGCCGGAAAGTTATTAATAACCTCGAGAAGGCCTTTAGCGTAACTACGAGCATCGCTCCTATTAGCGCTAGTAAGCTTAGACTTTAGAAACTATAACGCTCGAGGCGTAATAGCTAAATAATTAACGACCGAGCGATAAGCGCGATTAGACTAGCTATTAGTTACAATATATAGGCGCGTGCTCTTATTAACCTTAGTTATTATCTCGGTATGTAGCTTCTTATAGATACGGGGCAACTATACGTATCGAAGCTACTAGCGAGTTAGTAGTTTAAAGGCTAGTCGTAGCCTCTTTAACTATCTTAAGAACGCTAGATACTTAGTCGCGCTTAGTAGACTACTAGAGGCAAACACCTACTTAGCAACTAACTCGTAGAGCAACTTGTGCTCCTTTAGCGTTATCTTATCGACGAAGCCTAATATACCGACAAGAACGACCTCCTTACGCGCCGGACGAGCGATTTCCTCGACATCTTAGTCCTTAGCTAAACTAGCTAGTTCAGCTAGTTTAGCTAGCACTAGCGACTCTATATCTACTACTTCGTCTACTAATTAAGGTTAATAAGTCGGCTATAAGCTCTCTAGTAACAACTTATACTTCGTTAAGTAATCTACTACTCGAGCGCGCTTATTTAATACCTACGAGTTACTATAATAGTTATACTCGATAGTAGCGTATACCTTGCCTTTTAAACGGTCTCTAGTAACCTCGCGCTAATATACGTCTTCTATACGTTTTCGCTTGCTAAGAATATAACGAGTCGGAGTTAGAGTAGATAGACTGCTAATAGTAGTAAGTAGTAACTGCTAGCTAAAAGAGAGGTTGTCGGATATACTAAAAACGACGGAGTATTTAGTAGCGGATTAAGGACAAAACGACTAATAGAAGAGAGGGAACCTAATAGTCTATCTATATACAATCTACTACAAAATAGCCTATATTATATGCTCTCTAGCACGGTCTCCTTTATCCGCAATTGCGGCGTTCCTACTATCGAGTTCTCGTCGGTATTTGTTATATCCTAACCTAGTATACCTTAACTAGTCTAATAGGCTCTTAGCCTTTTCTTTAACTATTACATTTGTATACAGATCGCTTACATTCGCGATACTAATACGAAAGAACGCGAACAAATACGCCCTCGAGGTAGTACGGACCGGGGCATAAAAAAATCTCTATAGCGCTAGTGCCTCGAGAACCCGGCTAGGGCGGCAAACTAGCCATTCCATTCCAGCCATTCTAGCCACTTATCTAAGTGATTATTACTAATCTTATATTCACCTACGTGTTTATAAGACACGCGCTAAGGTGGTCTGTGTTCACCGTGTAATAACGGTGATGTTCACGGCTGTGCCATTGTGTACAACATCTCTAGCGGCGAGGCTCTGACTCGCAGCGCATCAGTCTGCGTATGTTGTTTTTGAGTATGACGAGAGAACGGCTCATCGCTCCTTCACATCGTAGGCGAAGCCAAGACTAGACAAGCATCGAGAAGCGAAGCCTTTTCTCCGCATCCCGCAAGGAAGGCCAGAGGCTAGACCCTGGTGATAGGTGATAGGTGACTAGGCAGTAGGTGCAATTTCACGACAAGGATTGAGAGCATGTATGTCTCTTATCGCTCCTTTGCCCCAGAGGGACTCCCGGGGCGACGACAGCTCCGAAGGGAAGCACCGTCACCGTGATAGATTAGTAGCGACAATAACTCTACGCTAAGGGCTTCCGCCGCGCCTAGGCGTCATGTTCTTGTCATTATTGTTGTGAGCTCGAAAGACTCGGAAAGAGTGTTGTCTCGTGATATACGATTCACCAACAAGGGCTTTTGCTGTAGCTCGCGAACCGACTGCTTTGTCGAGCTCACAATGGAGGCGACAAAGCAGGCAGAGACTGCCGCCGCAGTTGCCAACAGCCATGATCAAGATGAAGCAGCTATGGCAGAAGTCGGGAGAAGTCGGCAAGGTGCAACTCGCAGATACAATGGAAATGTGCTTGAGATGCCTGCTGACTAAGCGAGCTCATGCTCGGCTAAATATGCCTGCTAATTAATTCTATAGGAGAGCACGCGTGTTGCTGTGCAAGGGATCCTGATCCTGACCGGCAATTGCAGTTTTTGCGGGCAGCTTCTCAACTTCACTCCAACCCTCCTTGCAAGGTCAATCGTCGATTCTTCGCGGATGGCCAGATCAGGGGATTCTATCCTCGCGGATTGGCAAGTACTCCTCTTTTGAACTCTAGCTGTCTTCGGCCAGCAACAATCGCTGGGCGTGCCGGGCCATATTATTGCGAAGCCGCCATGCAGGCGATCGCTCTCCTACTTGTGAGTGCAGCTCCAGCATACTGTAGAATAGAATAGCGAGACACAGCGCACGCAAGCCCGAGAGTGGAACATCACAGCCCTCCGCCGAGCGCAGCAGGACAAGCTGCACGCGGCTCGGGGCTGTGCACTCGACACCGCGCATTATCAATATGCCAGCTCGCCTGGTCCGACAAAAGAGACATCGGCATGTCATGTCAGTAGTAGTGAGATCGGGTTGGTGTTCTTGGAAAAAGTCAATCTGCACCTCGCTGCCAGCTGCGCACTGCCCTGCCCAGTCCAATAATGCTGGGCTGGGAGAGAAGCTGCGCAGTTCCCCCGAACTTCGACCAGATAGGCAAGTCTTCAGCCCATGCTGAACTCCATCGCGCGATTCAAGATGTATGCTGCCTTGACCGGCCCGGAGGCCACCTGCGTGCGGAACCGCAAACGGCCTGGCCTGCACTCTGCACCCAGTGTGCTGCCTTCCCTCGCCATCAGCGAGAGCAGCATTGCTGGCCGCCCTCCAAGTGTCTCCTGCCTCCGATGCTCTTCGCGGGCGCTGCTGTGACGTGTTCCGTTGCACCGAACGTCCGCATTATTGTTCAAATCGGCGGTGCAGCGCCCAGCCGCACCTCTTGGTCTTTTCCGTAAGCCATGGCGTTCAAAACTCGGCTCTCCCTCGATCGATGCATTGCTTCCTCCCTCCTTTCTCACCTCGAGTCCTTCCCAGCCACACTCGGGCCATCGTCGCGTCGCGTCGCGTATCGTATTGCTGTATGGAAAGGCCCAGGTGTGATGGAATGTCGTCTCGAGACAGTGCACGCCTATGAGGAGCCATGTGCAAGTCAGGCACAGGGAACGGACTCACGGCCGACAGAGTTTGATGGCACTTCACGACCTGGTTGTCGAAGAGAGGCAGCCGTTAGTGTCCGTCTCACTGCTTTCCAGACAATCGGACGTGTCGACGCCACCACCCAGAGAGCGCGGCGCGGATGCACGGGTTCGCAGCGGAAAGGACGGTACCCGTGATGTGCGCGGCGCGGACTGACTCGAGCTTGGGAGTACATTATTCAGTACTTCCGCGCTGCATGACGCAGACGGTGTATTGTCATGTCTAGCTGTATAGCACTGCAGCTGCCGCAGGCGTGTAATTTTCAGCTTCAACCGCAAGCAATTCTGTCTGGGGGACTTCCCAGAAAACGGATAGCTTCTATAGGATTGTGTTCCATGCTTCCTGCTAGACTTTTCGTTGGTCTTCCTAATCTCCTGACCAAGGTTGGAACAAATGACGAGCATCGTCACATCTTGATTGCTGCCACGCTGCAGAACGACAGAATGCGCATTCACGTAGCGCCAGAACTTGACCCACTATGCGATATTGCATTCGCTCGTATGCGATCGTATGGATCGCATGCTGAGACTAGGGCATGGGCACGGGCATGTGTGACCAACACGTCCTTCGACAAGTGTGCTCTAGCCGCTGTCCTGTTCGATGTTCACTCGACGCCACGATTCCGTCCGCTATCATCCATCGATCGAGGACCATCGTCGGGACTGAAAGAAGAGCTGCCTCTGCTGCGAAGACACGGAATGCTCTTTCCGCATGAATTTCAAGACGTGCGGCTACCAATGGCTACCGTCAAACTCCGAGTCTTTGAAGGCACCGGTCCAGGCGTGTGAATCATGCCGTAGAAAGAGTGCGATCTGGTCGTGTATCTTGGAAGCGGATGCTTCAAGGTGGCAGCAATGCGGTTTGAAGGCTTTCAGCACTGCTACTGGTTGCGCACAGGATCCCAGTACGTTCGGTTTGGCGGACTTGCGCTGTCAGCTGCAGATCATAGTCAGCGCGTGCCGTTCATCGATGCTTCGTCACGTACCAGGCTGGGTGCTGCTACCGCTCGTGCCCGCTGCAGTGGCGGCATTCTTGGATGCGTTGCTACTGGCGCTCGGCCTCCGCCGCTTGCCAGAGCCTTCGTCTTCATCCGAACTCGGATCTCGATCATCTCTGGGGCTCTTATCCGGACGATTCTTGTTTCGATAATCCCTGTATCGGAATACGTGCCAAAGCATCCATCGAATGATCCAGTTGTCTGGATTCTGAGCATCAGCTACATCGTGGCCGAATCGATATACGGCAAGCGTCTGCGGTTGCGCCTCATTGTATATTCGCATGACTTCGCTTTGCCAGGCGTCCTCGTGGATCTGCGCAGTGCTACTCGATTGGCCTTCGAGCAGTCGTTTCCTGCCTTCAGCGGCTTCCATCTAGCCATGTGTTAGTGCTGGTATCTAGAGATGTGTGGCAAACAATGTCGAACCTTCATGAGATTATACACCCGTCGATGGGTTCCATTGGTCAAGTCCAAGCCAAGTCGAGCGAAGAATCTGGCCTTGGACTCACTCTGGGCCAAGGCCGGAAGCTGCGGCGCCATTGTGTGATGCAGAAATGAACGTGCTGACGCACAGAGCGGCCCTGGAGGCGGCACGCCCACCTGTCGTTCACGGATGAAAGTCGTGCCTTGGCTTCTTTTACTCCTCTTATCGGCAAGCCGTCTAGCCCTCCGAAGCTCCGATGAGGCAAGCAATCTTCATTTCGCTCGCCACGTATTGCTGTACGGTGTAGTAGCTGTGAGGACTGCTGGGTCTCCTCACATTTAGTCATGGACGTCCAGTGGGAATGCAACGATCGATCGGGAGCATGTGCTGAATGGGGCCAATACCGCGAACCGAGCCAATGGAGGCTCATGAGACTGGACCAGGTCCCCATTGCACAAATGCATATTGCATATGGACCTTACGAGCACCACTCGCCTGGAGCTTGACCGGACGCGACAAACAACTTTGAGCGCGGCATCTCAAGGCCACATGAGGATCAACGACCACTTTCCCAAGGATCGGGCATCCGAAAGCTAGAATAATCGCTGTCACCGTGCTCCGTATCATCGAGTCCGTACGGCGTACGGGTCTCAGAGACGCAGACCTCGCGCTCTGGTTTCCCGAGTGGGAGAGGCCTTGCTCGCAAATGCCCTCCGGGCATGTTTCCATGCTAGCTGATGGTCAAGGAAGGCATTGCTGTGATCAACACTTCCATGGGCAGAAGCTGCGTGCCTTCGAGCCGGCCTTCACAACCCCAACCACAATCAACGGCAGTCGAGCACTCTTGTCAATTCTTTGATCATCCAGGCTAGTCTTGGCTGCAACGACCTCAGCTCGGGCATAAGCACCACCCAGCTAAGCCTATTGTGTACCCCAGCAACCCGCCAACTACACCCTCTGTCAAGAACCGAATTGTAGCGTCCGCCGCCCGAGTGGTAGACTATAACTTAATACAGGCATAATCTGCCTCTCCTATTGGATGAAACAGAAGTCGCAGGGCTCGGAGGCTCTTCCACAGGGTATAAGAATACCCCCGAAACCTTGACAGAGGCTTTACAGAGGGTGCATGCTTCTTTGATGAGAGTACGTGGCAGTCGCGCTATACTTTGGAGGGTTCGGAAGTTCGGAGCCACGCACAGGCTGAAGAAGTCGGGTGTCATGCAGCTATTCCTTACCACATTACTCTGGAGCACCGCAGTCTTAGAACCAACCACGAAAGCTACCAGCATTCGAGAGCGTCAGTTTGACATCAATCAGCTGATGCAATTCGTTTATGCAGATGATCGCCGCTAATCAGATTCTTGCGTTAGCCTGAGTAGGAAATTATTGAATGCTCCCACGTATTGCTTGACGGAGCACACATGAAGCCTTCGCGTGGAGTCCTCGAGGCGAATCTCAGAGACCTGGTCTCGAGCGCCGATCTGACATGCGGCTAGTGATACCCAACAAGACACCACTACTGTTACCTTGGGTTTTAGCTTTGATAGTACCAAGTCCCTGGGACCACTTTCTATAGGTTGCAGGCTCAGCATTCATGGTTCAAGGCTCACCAAGTCAACTCCTCCCGACGGCGGCAATAAGACGGGCCGCACTATCTGTCTTTTACTTTTGGTAACAAAGTGTCCTGCCTGCAGCCACCAGGATGCCTGTCTAACGCAATCATATCTTAGACGGCGAGAACGCCGGCCTCAATTGTGTTGCCGATACGGAGGAGATATCGATGAATTTCAATCGGATGAAAACCTCCGGACCGCCATCCGCTAAATTGCTACGATGACCCAGGATCACAGCCGCTTCCGCTATTGGGACGAACAAGGAAATGCCGAGATGCTCCTCCTTGAATAACGACCACAGGGTGGCGAAAGATAGATCTTTCATAGCCACGACAGCCTTCCGCTGGTCGTCGGTACTTGTGCTTGTCAACCCAATTCCAACAGTAGGTTCTAATCAGAAATTCGCCTTTGCAAAATGTGCAACAGGCGCTAGACGCCAAGTCTGAGAAAAGCAAGGATGAGCCTGTCGCTCCCGCGAGTCCACCAGCAACCAAAATACGAGATTTGAATTCGCCAACGCGAAATCGTACGCTCCACTGCAGAGTAAAGACGGTGATGCCCAGCACTAGTGATATCGATTGCGCTACATTCTGAGCAGTCCAACTGCCGTAGACTCGGTTAAAGGGATCCGCAGCTAACAAAAGATTGAAAGCAATCCTGGCCAGGACGAACGCGAAGGACGGATGCGTAGTAATACCCGAGTCTTTCACGGAGGACTTGGGGCGTCGATCTGCTGCTAATCAGGCGGGATGAAACCAGCTATGCGGCATGAAAGAACGACCAGGCTGCCAAGAAGCTGTGGTCTCTGAAGGAATGACGTGGTGTCCAAACCATAGCCATTGAGAAGTGGGATAGAGCCCCGGCGACAAGGATACCGCCGCTGAGGTCCATGCCAATGAGCTTCTCGGTAAGGCTCGCTTCCATTGACACTCCGCTCCGCTGGAGCCTGGCGGTCTGACAAGGGAGCAACATCACCATACCTGCGCTCAGCGCTCCCATTGGAAGACTGATCTTGCCACGAGCTTTCGACCCCATCAGAGTTTGTAACCAAGCCGATTGCACCCGTACCATCACAAATAGAGCTTCGTTGGATCCACATATAAGTACAGGGCAGCAGCGTCAATCCCTGTCGAAGACCTCGGTCAGGCTGCCATGCTGTAGTCGAAGCTTCTGTACCCGTGCAGAATGCGTGGCGAGAAGAGCGAAGATAGTCGATGGGCGAACTGCCGCTGATCCGCATTGGCAATGTATCGGAACCTGGCTGTAATCTCCATACATGCCAACTTGAAACTCTCATTCTCGAACAACGAAAGAGTTGCTGTTCCGATTCGAGTATCCGGGGTTGCGTCAGCCACTTCACCCCTCGCCTGCGCTCGCTACCTCCATTCAGGCGCCCCGCTTTGTAGGCTTGCATAGACCTTCTACCTAAATTTAGCACCTTCCACCTTCTACCTTCTACCTTCTACCTTCTACTCTGTCTCTACGTCCTTACATCATCTCTCCGCCAAGTACACTAATATATATCTAGCTTAGCGGTCTATACTAAGCCTATAGCGAAGCGCCTAAAAGAAAACCGTACGGCTCCTATATAACCGTCCGGTATACAAACGAGAATTCGAATTTATAGAAGCATAACTATACATTAGATAGACAAACCTAAAAAAGCTATTCTACGCAATAATACGATCTTTTAAAATAGCTATACAAAGTATACGTTAAAATATTAAATTAAAGCTATAGATACGATCTTCTAAGATAGGTCTTCCGGTAACTACGTTTGTTCTACCCTCCTTTGTATTACTTATATATAAACGGTATATAAAACGCTAAGTAAATTACGAGCGGACCCTTAGATTAACCGCCGCTCGCACCTCCGACTCTTAGAATACCTATATTCTTAACCCTTTGCCTTTATCTTGCTACTAAGGGCTATACTATATTACTAGTATATATGCACCTTTACTCGTAGTAATTCCTTTATCTAGTACGTTCTTAGACTCGAATAGGCCTAACGAAGGGTCTAGAGAGCCCTTTAGATACCTGTTTGCCTTATCGTACCTCGCTATCGTACCTCGCCGTCGCCTACTAATAGTATACTATAACTAACCTACCGCGACTAACCTACTAACAAACAGACAATAGCGCTACCTCCGAGGGGCACTCGTAAGTAGCGTAATAGGGAGAAGAAAGATAGGGCTAAGAAGCGTAAGACTAATAGATAGTAGAATGAATCCGAGTAGCACTTTCTAATAGCACTTCTAGGTCGCGCCGCTATAACTCGAGAGCGCCCGGATTTTAGTTACTTGCTACCGGTCTAGTAGCCTAAGAATAAGCGAGATTATAAAGCATAGTTCTAGACTCGTTGCGATCGTATTAACGCCGCCGATAACCTATTATCGTAGGACTAAGTTAAGCAACTCGTATATAATGCCGCAGCTTCTCTAGAGGCTAAGAATATCTACCGTAATATCGTTACCGCTAGCCTTGTTAAGCTATTAGATCGCCTTTATCTAGGAAAAGGATATTAGCCGAAGGACGTCTAGATCGATCTAGTCTTCGCGCTAATCTTCGGCGGTAGCGATATTCTATAGATCTCGAAGACAGGCGAGGGCAAGAGCTTAGTATTTATAGCCTTTACGTATTTAACTGGCCTTATTACCCTCTAGTTTATACCGCTAAATCGCCTTAGCGAGGAGTAGGCCGAGGTCGTCGAGAACCGGTATTAATAGCTATAGTTAGATAGCTAGTTAGATAGGTAGCCGATCGAGCGAGATAGTATCGTTAACGCTATTAATATTACCTCCGAAACTATAAGCCTCTATCCTAAGCTATACGACTATATTACTAATAGTAGATATTATTATATTATCCTAAGTCTAGAAACCGGTACTAGTCTAGCCTTTAGGAAGCTACTATAGGACCCTAAGGTTCGTACCCGTATCGGTCTCGTAGTAATCGATAAAGTCTATCTTATTAACAAGTAGCGTAACTTTCGGAAGGAATATATACAGATCTTCGCTCTACGTAAGTTGCTCCGTAATAACATAGTTTGGCTCGGCTATTCTACGACAATGTCCGAGGATATAGAGGACTTTGTGCTTAAATATAGTAGATTTCGTCTAGTTAGTAATTAGCTATTCTAGACTAAGATTATTCGTAGCAGTATCGATCGTCTAGATACTACGTATATCCTACGTACTATTCTAAAGAATTAGCTCCGCTTATACGAGTACCTGTATTTCGCTATCGATAGTGCATTCGACCTAGAGACTAAGGAAGCTACGCCGATAAACATTAAGAAGGCCCTCTTGTTTATTAATAGTCGTAAGTATATCTAGGATCTAGCTAATGTTATTCGGCATTAGCTAGTCGCAACGACTGCTAAGTGTAGGGACTAGAAGAAACGATATATATAGGACAATAAAGGTGTTAATATATATACTATAGTAACATTCTATACTAGCAGTATCGCTAAGCGAGACTAGAAGCGCCGGTATAACCGCTTCTATAAGACTATAGAGTATCTAGATAGGCTATCGGAATACTGCATTATAGTTGCTACTACTGCTTTTAGTATTAGCCTAAATATACTAGACATTAAGCTTGTTTACTAGACTAGGTTCACTCTTACGCGCGATATCGAGGATGTTATCTAACGTCTTAGCCGTACCGGTCGTACTATTCTACGTAGTTTGGCCTTTATCTTCCTACTATACTATATCGATAATCGTCTTAAGTAGCCGCGGCTAGAATCTAACTACCCGGCAATCAAGCCTCGCCGACGTAGATCGCATAGAGCATTCCGGCTATTAGGGCTCCGCTAGTCTAAGCTTCTAGGAGAAGATACTAATGCGCTAGGTACTCGAGAAGCCGCTAATAATAATAATAATAATAATAGCGATAGCGATAGAAACTACTAGACTAAGAAAGAGATAGAGCTTCGCGATAAGATTCCTCGGATTTAGCGGGAGTTCTAGAATAACTATCTACGCGAACAATACGGCATATGTCTACGCAAAGTCGTCCTTCGCTACCTCGGTAAGGATAAGGTAGTATATACCTAGCAACTACTAGTAGTAGAAGATTGCTATAATATCTGTAACCTAGAACTAGACGCTCTTTATATCGACATACCTCTAGAGGGTGTTACTCCCCCGAAATTCAAGGCTCCGAGAGCCGGCACTCGTCTAGCAATTGGATTTAGTATACTAAAGGATTAGATATTAAAGCGGCCTGCCCTTTAGTATCTAGATTAGTTAAGCTATATTCGATTCGACCTTCTATCGACTAAGGTTATAGACGATCCGATTCTAGCTAATATCGCTAATATCTTTACTACCGCTAAGTTAGTTAATAAATAGAACGAGAGTATTACTATCGATTAGGATCTCCTTAAGTAGAAGGCGCTAGTATTTGTAGACTAGTTCGAGAAGCTTTAGTAGTATAAGCAACTATTCGCTACCTTTTAGCTAATCGATACTCTAAAAAGCCTTAGTCTAGAGGTATTGACTAAGTAGCGTACTATTTATAATACGAGGAAGAGGGCCGAGGAAGATAGACAAAAGAAGGCTAAGGAAGAGGCTGCTCGAGAAGCGGCTCGCAGCGCCCTAATATACGTCTATCGGATACTATACTACTACCTACAATGCCCTTTACTCTATAGCAGCGCGCTGCTGCTCTAAATAAGTTAAGAAGCGGTATTATAGGCTCTGCTAGCGTATAGGCTAACCTCCTTTATAGCCGTAACACTTAGGTATTAGGAACTCGAAGCTAGGAGCGCCTAGGCTTATCTAGTAGTCTTAGTCTACGTACTTAGCGACAGCTACCTCTACAGATTAATCCGACTGCTAAATAGGCATATACTCGAGCTAAGCGGATTCTTAGCACCGTTACTCGTACTAACGAGGAGCGAGGTCGCGTATTGCGTACTAAGCGTAGACTCTTAGAAGCGGGTCGACGTATAATAGGCTCTTAAGGTAGCTCTCCTAGCAGGCGTTAATACTAGAAATAGCGCTACAAATAGCGCTAGAAATGGCGCTAGAAATGGCGCTAGAAATGGCGCTAGAAATGGCGCTAGAAATAGCGCTAGAAATAGCGCTAGAAATAGCGCTAGAAATGGCGCTAGAAATAGCGCTAGAAATGGCGCTAGAAATGGCACTAGAATAGCAGTAGAATAGTAGTAGAGTTAGTATTAACAAGATCCGTTATAGCTACCCTTCTATTATGTCCTTATAAGCTCGCTAAGTCCTCGTCGCCGACTATAATCTCCTCGTCCGACTCGTTATTATCTATCGGTTCGTTAGGCCTATTTAGTTCTACGAGAGCTAGCTAAGCTGCTTCTGCGAGAGCTAGCCTAGTTGAGCTGCTTTAGCTACTTCTACGAGAGCTGGCGTGTAATGTGTAATGCCTAGTTTAGCTACTTCTACGAGAGCTAGCGTATAGTAGTGCCTAGTTTAGCTGCTTCTACGAGAGCTGGCGTATAATGCCTAGTTTAGCTACTTCTGCGAGAGCTAGCGTATAATGCCTAGTTTAGCTACTTCTACGAGAGCTAGCCTAGTTAAGTTGCTTCTACATATAGTAGTGCCTAGTTTAGCTGCTTCTACGAGAGCTAGCGCTAGAATTGGCACTAGAGATAGCGCTAGAGATAGCACTAGAATAGCAGTAGAATAGCAGTAGAGTTAGTATTAATAAGATCCGTTATAGCTACCCGTCCATTATATTCTTATAAGCTCGCTAAGCATACCTAGTTAAGTTGCTTCTGCGAGAGCTAGTTAAGTTGCTTCTACGAGAGCTAGCGTATAATGCCTAGTTAAGTTGCTTCTACGAGAGAGCTAGTTAAGTTGCCTCTACGAGAGCTAGCGTATAATGCCTAGTTAAGTTGCTTCTGCGAGTGTAGGCCTAGTACTAGTACTAGTGCTAGAATTGGCATTTAATAAGGTCCTTCTTCGCTACCCTTCTATCGTGTCCTTATAAGCTCGCTAAGCAGGCTCTTCTATCGTGTCCTTATAAGCTCGCTAAGCAGGCTCTTCTATCGTGTCCTTATAGGCTTGCCTTTATAGTTAAGCATATTAAATTGGCTATTAACGCGCTTGCCGAGAAGGGCTTGTAAATAGTCGTAGGTATCGTAGTCGTAGGTATCGTAAAAATCGTATATAAGAGCTAGTCGAGAAGTGTGAATTCGAGGAAGCGACAAGGATACCGAGTCCCGCTAAGACCCCGGATTTAGTATAGTAGAGCGCTTAATTAGTAGGATTAAACGTTATAGCTGCTTCCTTCCGCGCATTTACAATACCGACTTTTACGACTTTTACGACTTTTACAATAGCACATTACTAATGTAGCGAGATACGTCGATTAAGCGCATTTCCCGCAAATAGCGCTAACAAAAGTGTCTAATACGATAACGACGGCCGCCTTAGGCACTAAGAACCGCCTCCGAAACCCGAGAAGTTACTAGCGAGACTAGCGAGACTAGCGAGACTAGTACTATACTTATTGCACCGCATACTCTTATAGGCACTATAACATATACGGCAAGGATAGATACGTAGGGCGATAATATATATCGAGCGCTCGTAAAAGCACCCTTCGAGAAGCTACGATAGCCCTCTTACGTTAACGCCCTCTATTGCTTAGACTCTCCCTAGAACGATCATTCCGATAACTAGTTACTATATAAGGTAGAGAAAACGAACAGTAGCGTCCGGGGATCTAATTAACTAGCGGCACTAAGCGGCTATAGAAGCACACACTCCGAAGCATACTAGAATTACACATAGCCTATATACTACGCGCAATGCGCAACAATTAACGCATTCTATTACTAACTATAGCACGTATAACCGAAGACAAGGTATATAGGACAGGACTTATTAAGCGAAATATAATAGCGATTGCTAAAGCGACACTTATTAGTACCTAGACAACAATAGAGTGTAACCGCGCCCTTAGTATTAGAGACACCGTAGAAAAGGGTTGTCGAGCGCGTTATAGTCGTATAGCAATGTTAATGCGCTTACTAGAAGAGGAGGCGCACTACAGTCGGATAATAGTCTTAATACGCTTTCGGATCGGTACGCACTATAGTCGAATAGCAGTCTTAATACGCAAAGGGCTGCAGTCGTATAGCAGTAAAGACTAAGACTAATACTAAGACTAAGCGCCTTCGGGCTTAAGTACACTAGAGGCCCTTACGTAATAACTAAGGTTATTATAACTAATAGTCCTAACGAAGGCGTTACGTCGACTTAACTAGATGCGCGTATATTATCCTATAAAGAATCCGAACGTAGGAAGCCTATAGCCGCTACTTAAGGTATACCTTACTAAAGAGTTTTTACCGAATTAGGCCTAGCCGCTACTTAAGGTGTACCTTACTAAAGAGTTTTTACCGAATTAGGCCTAGCCGCTACTTAAGGTATACCTTACTAAAGAGTTTTTACCGAGTTAGGCCTATAGCAATGCTACGAACTAACCTACTTAGTAGGAGAGTCGCTATCGAGCTACTACTTAAGGTATACCTTACTAAAGAGTTTTTACCGAGTTAGACTATTAGCCGCATTATAGGTGTACCTTACTAAAGAGTTTTTACCTCCGCTAATCTATCTAAGACCTCTACAGTTTATACTAAGACTGCGATGTTCTAACAAAAACTATACTCTTTCGGTTAAATGCGTAGTCGACGCCCGCTAAAGCTATAGTATACCTACTCGCTAGAAGAGTCGCCTTCGTAACGTCTTGCGTCGGCAAAGCCTATCGGAGACCTTAAAAGAAAAGAAGGACTAAACAAACTCTACCGATCGAGGAACCTTAACTAACTTAAGCGGTTCTATCGGTAGTAAGCCGTAGGACTAGTTAGGAGATAGTGTTAATCGCTATAGAGCTACCTATATACGACAAAGAGGTATCGATACTGTTATATACGCCGATAGCTAGTATGTTGCTAGGGGTATTAGTGTATTAGTATATATAGAAGAAGAAGAAGAAGTTGAACTAGGAAGCATAGGTCTATATTAGCGCATCGCAGGTAAGGTTTGCCTCTACTAATAGGATTGCGCTATTTAGCTATAATAGTAAGGCAACAATAACGGCTATATATTATCGCACTTTTAACGCAATAGCCGCCGACTACTAGTCGAATGCCTAAGGCTAGAATTGCTAGCGACTAGAGGCATTATACGCCTAGCCTAGCTAGCTATTAAGCTATTAACGTACGCCTAGCTAAACCCTTCGTAGCTAGCTATTAAGCAATTATCGTACGCCTAGCTAGACCCTTCGTAGCTAGCTATTAAGCAATTATCGTACGCCTAGCCTAGCTAGCTATTAAGCAATTATCGTACGCCTAGCCTAGCTAGCTATTAAGCAATTATCGTACGCCTAGCCTAGCTAGCTATTAAGCAATTATCGTACGCCTAGCCTAGCTAGCTATTAAGCAATTATCGTACGCCTAGCCTAGCTAGCTATTAAGCAATTATCGTACGCCTAGTTAAACCCTTCGACTTTATAAGCACCCCCGACGAGGCACGCACTCTAGTCTACCGCTACTACTTCGCCGCTAACCGCCTAGTTAACGGGGCTATCGTTGTCGGCGGCAAGCGCACTTAGAAGATAAAGCTAGTACCTAAGAGATAAAGCTAGTAAGGAAGGCCTAGATAGTAGATATAGTAGGTTAGATTACTATAAACGAATATAAAAGCTATATTTATTTATTCCTTAGTCGCTATAACCGCTGCCCTTATCTATATCTTAGTTACCGCCTATCGCATCGACTACTTTAACCTCCGCATCGATAAGCTAAGCCTATCTATTAGCACGTTAGATAGTATCGACCTACTTAGAGTCGGTCTTATCGATAGTAGTACCCTATATATTACTACGATTAGTCGTAGCCTTACGACTAGCCTTAGCAGCCTCTATGTCCTCTACGACCGCATCCGTAACGGTAGAACGACCTTCGAAGTACTCCTTGTTGCTTTAGTTAAATATAGCAACCTTCTCGCGGATCTAATCGCTACTAAGCTGCTAGATATCGTCCGATACATGCCTACCGTTATTGCTATACGGAGCTATAAAGCTATCCGAGAACAGCTTCTCTACGCGGCTAAAGACGTTAATAGCCGTATTCTTATAGGTATAGTAACTGCTTAGCTTAATACTAGTAAAGGAGGTTATTATATTACGTAGTATACGAGCCGGCTCGCGGTTAAGTACGATCTTCTTAAAGGTTGCTAGCAGGTTATAAGTCGAGTTACCGATGCGATTAATGTCTTCTAAGTACTCGTAGTTATAGATCTCGAGCTGCTTATCCGCCGCTATTATATAACCCTTCTTCCTATTAGTAATAATACTAGAAGATAGAATAGCTTCTTAGAGGATATTATTATAGCCTAGACTAAGCAGCTATCGCTTATATATTATTATCCGACTATAATTTCCCTACTTAGTACCGAGGAAACTAGGGATTAGATAGTCGACGGATCGATAGAGATAACTAATATCTACGTTACGGACCCTAAGGCGTAGGGTAAGGAACATCTTAATCTCCTATATTATCCGAGCTATAGTAGTATACTAGGCATTAGGTACCGGCTTACTAACGCGGTACGGCAAGCTACGCTATACCTCGATAGATAGGAGCTTCTTATAGATATCCTATACTATCTCTAGGTATTGCTAAGCGGTTAGCCTAGATAGGGCCTCCTTAACTATATCTATACGGCTCTCCTTACTAGAGATTATAACGCGGCCCTGCTTAGACAACTACTTAATAGCCGCACCGACACTACGAGCCCGGAATATAGTCTTAAGCAGCCGAAGGATCTCGAAGAATTTTAGCTTCGTACTGCTAACCTTGTTCTCGCTATACTAGAATGCAGCATTGCCCTTTACTATCTAAGCGCTTAGAAGAGGCTTCCTATCGCTGTTCTTATCCTAGTGCGTACGTAGGACAGTAAATACACAGTTTATTATAGTGTAGAACTAGGCTAGCGACATAAGGAGGCTATCGCGCTTGTCGTACGGGTCCTTATTCTCGACACTCTCGTTACGTACGCTATACCTACGTACGACGGTTATATTGTCGCTATTCTATATATATAGAGGTCCCTCTAGCCCGCTCGCAAAGTCCTTATCGCGGTCTAGGTCCTAGAACTTTAGCAGGATCTCGTCTTGTATAGTATATATGCCCTTAATAGTCGCCTCGTCGTTAAAGGAAACAGGCTACGAATATACCTCTATATAGGCCGGGTCTAACTCATCGATTACTAGCTATACTAGTCGCTTTAGATTACTACCGCTATTCTCGAAAATTGCCTTTACGGCCTCTAGGAACGTATACGCAATAGCCTTATCGATATAGAAGAGCGTAGTCTTAATACTAATATCGGAAACCTCCTCTCTATCCGGTTGTATTGCCTTATCTTTATAGATATTCTTAAAGATCTTATTAGCGTTTAGCGGCTTGTCGTAATAGATTATCTTCTTCTTTAGGCCACCCTTCGGAATGCGCTTATTAACGGCTATATACGAGGTAGTTATAGCTACTATCTAGTTAGTATCGCTAGTAGCCTAGTCGGTACGGTTCTATATCCGATTAAAATTGTCGACAGTACTACTATACTACTTGTCGGGGTAGTTGCACAGCTTAGCAATTTGCGTCTCTATATAATTAGCATTCTTATCTATTAAGATCTAGATAGTCTAATATGCTAGAGTAATGTTTAGGTTGTTTAAGACCTCGATCGTACGACGACTCGTACTATTACTAACGAGGAATATTCTAAGGGCCTTTAGAAAGAATAATGCCTTAATATAAGACATAGAATATAGGACTTAAGAGGTTAGTATCGTCGTACGCTTCTATATAATATTACGCTTGTCCGCGAACTTAGTCCGGTACTAGTAATAATCGCGACGCACGTTAGGTAGTAGATCCTAGCCGAGCAACTAATGCTATATAGGAGCGACCTATTAGATAGCATCGTCTATATCTCTAAGGTCGATTTCGAAGTTACAGAACTCCGGTTTATATGTACTAAACAAATCCTTGCTAATAAGGTTCTTTAGCTTATTACGAATAATACGAGCACTAAACAGGCGATCTTCTAGAAAGGCATCGATAATAGCCTAGAGGTTCTTCTCGTATTGCTTAGAGCGCTTAGTAGTCTTACGAGTTTTAGCAGACTTAGATGCTTTATCGCCCGGCTTGCCGACTAGATACTTAATAAAGTAGGTTATACTAACCTTGTTCTTTACTATAGTATCCTTTAACTCCTTATAATACTTATCGAGGAGCCGCTTAAGCGCAACGTCTTTGCTAGTACGGCGTGCAATTTCTAGGGCCTCTTTATCTTTATCTTTATCTTTATCTTTATCTTTATCGCGAGTATCTAACTCCTCGTTACTACTAGGATCTTCGTCTTCTTCGCTAAGGTCTTTATCTATAGTCTCCGACTCCGACTACTTATCTTCGAAGTCGCTAACCCTAGCTATATCCGCTAGTCGTACGATAGTCTCTAGTGCATCGCTTAGGAAGCCGCTTATAGAGTATATCGGTAATGCTGCTATCTGTTTAGGAAGAGGTAGACCGACTAGAGCGTGCTAATAACCTAGCTAGCCTAGAAGTAGCGCATTATCTAAATCCTAGTCTATTAGATCGCCGCTATCGTCTTGCTACTAAGGCGGAAGGATTAGATTGCCTTTATCGTCGTAATTATATACCGTTATCTTACTAGAAGGTTCGTTAGACATCTTAAAGGACTCGAGGCCTAGCAGCGGTCTAGCAGCTATAGTAGTAGCGGTGCTAGCAGCTATAGTAGCAGCGGTCTGCTAGCTGTAGTAGCAGCTGTAGTAGCAGCGGTAGTAGCAGCGGTAGTAGCAGTAGTAGTAGCAGCTATAGTAGTAGTGCTAGTAGCGACTTTTAGGTGTTTTAACCTTAGCTTTAGAGTCGCGTCTGCTATATAGTAGCAACTTAACAACCATACCTCGGATAGACTTATGCTATATACAAAAGGTGTTTAGAAATAGTCTACGAAGGACCTCGAAGTATCGAGTCGGCTATAGGAAGGTTGTCGATTGCCCTCGAAGGCTATAGAGCGGTTAGTAGGCGTCGGACGGAATTTTCGCCTACCTAAACAATAATTACCGTCGTTAGGAGAAGGACCTCTAAGTGTTAGCTAGGCGATGCGGTATATTATATATTGAGGTGTTTCTAGTAGTATAGCTAGCTGCCTAGCAATCCGGACAGCTGCAGTCGAGTCGGCTTAGTAGAATAGCGAAAACTTAACGCGCTAACGTCGCACAGACTTGTTTAATAGGTAGAATGAAGCGCAATTAGCAGGGCTACAACCTCCGCTATTTAGAATGTCTTATATACGTTGTAGTATTATATTAGTGTTTAGCAGGCTAGTTTCGTACGGGTTTATATTAGGCTTATAGGCGAAGAATTAGGTAGAGTGCTCGTAATTGGTTATCGGTAAGTTCGGAAGCTAGCCCTAGAATAATTACTAATCTATTACGTGCACTCGGTCGTAATATAATCCCTAATTACCTTTACGCAACTTAATTCTTTATACCTACGAGCCTAAATAGAGGTAGCTACGCTCGGGGATTTCGGCTATACGTAAAATCGCGATTTGTTAGTAGGCTACACGTAAATCTCGACGCTAGCGTATATTGTATAGTATATAAGATAGGAAATCGATAGTGCGTGCGATTATAGTTAAGAAGTAGTAGTTTTCGAGCAAATTGCGACCGTATATACCTATTCCTATCGCCTTAGCGCGTACCTCGCATCGACTATATAATTAATTACTATGTAGGTTAGCCTATATATCTAGTATGTAACTACCGCCTCTTGTATGTCTTCTAGCTTAATAGGGTCGTTCTTACTACTAGCAACTAAGCCCTTATAACGACTAGTTTTCTTCGGATCTTCGTAGAAATACCGCTTCCGCTGTACAGACTCTTAACGGCGACGAGGATATACTAGATAAGGCTAAATTATAGTATATATAGTATCCTTATTAAGCAGCGCCTTATCTTATTATAACTAGTCTAGTCGAGTGTTAGGCTCTTACGCGAATAAGCCGTTTAATCGCCGCTTTAACTTAACGTTAGTCTAGGTTAGAAGGTTACCTTCTTCGTGTTCGCAGGTACGGCTCGGCAGTAATAGTGTCTATACCTAGCTCTACGTATAGGTAATATCGCCGCCGTCGGAGGTATAAGTATATCGCTTATATTCGCTAATAATATTAGCGTACGGATTACCGGTCTTCTTTACCGAGTCGTTGTTAGTAATAGTAGTAGTAAGAAGCCGAAGGTCGAAGGTACGTTATAGTAGCTTGTCGATAGGCTGCAATACAATGTCTATAAACTTAGTCTTACTATTGTTATTAAATATAATACGAAAGGCCTCGCTATACTTTAGTCGATATTAGCGTGCCTTGTTATATAGAGACTTAGCCTTACGGAGCATCTTCTAGTAGCAATTGTTAGCTATTTCCTTATCTTGCTAAGTAAGTTGTAAGCGTAGTTTAGAAGCCTTAATCGCACTAGCTCGAACGGAGCATCTTCTAGTAGCAATTGTTAGCTATTTCCTTGTCTTGCTAAGTGAGTTATAAGCGTAGTTTAGAAGCCTTAATCGCACTAGCTCGAATAAGCCTATTTAGTTGCTCCTTCTAGCGCTTCCTTACGCGTTTAACGAGGCTTATAGACTTGTATTTACGCTTGTATTCTTTACCTTTGTAAATAGCCGCATCGACTAATATATTATAAATAGCTTCTACTTACTTTGTAGGTAATAAGGAGAATAGATTAAATAAGGATAATATAGTATCGATACTAAGTAGTACAGTCTTTAGATAGCGACGTCGGAAGTCCTTACGAGCTTGTATAGTACTACGAGATGCCTAGATCGTACGAGGGCTAGTAGTAGTAACTAGCAACTATTATAGCAATTCGGGTATTAGCGTCCGGATCGGCTAAGGTAGTAAAGATAGCATACCCTAAGGCAATTATATTCTCGAGATCCCTTAAATAGTAACGACTATTAGCGCGGTGCTACCTATCTAGATCGACAATATTAGGATTAGGCGAACGTTTACGCTTAACCGATGCGAGGTGTTCCTACTAAGCGGTATCTGCTATTATAGGCGATTCTTCGTGTCGGGCTTCCTCCTACGCTAATTCGCCCTCGATTACCTGCTAGTTCTAATTGTAGTCTATAGCGCTATACTAATCTCGAATATAACGATAAGGAACCTCTCTATTAATTAGGAACAAGCCTGTCTTACGGAATACGGCCCTTATATTATAGTTAGTAAATGTCTTTACCCGAATAGCTAAAAGGGCTTCTATAAACTTAGGAATACCAAATTTACTAATACTACGGTATATAGCCTCTAAAACCGCTTGTCTATGCTTTAACTTATATACTTAGAATAGTATAACGTCGAGAGGCTATATAAAGTGCGAAGTGTATAGTTATAGGCCCTATAATTGAATTTTATAGCGCTTCGCGAAGGCCGCGAATTCCTTAAAGCAGTAGGAGCTATAATTGTCGTATAGTAGCACCCTCTATTCGTTTAGGTCCTTAGGTCTCGTCTTGCGCTTAAACTAATAGATATAGTATATAGCAGTGTCGTCCGTTATATAACTAGACTCGTTAATAGTAATTAAGAAGTTGTCCTTGCCTAATAACGAGGGTGTAGTTAGCAAGTAACGTTGTTATTGCCTTAGGCAATAGACTCGGTCTCGGTAATAGACTTACCTTCTTTTAGTATCTAACGCTCTTAAACTATTATACCTTTAACAATTAATTGATATTTAATTACCTCGCCGTACGCGTTAACGGTCTCGACTACAGTTATATACGTACGATTAGTGTCGCATTTAGTCTAGGCGCGCCGCTTCGTATCTATTATAACTACGTATTCGTTACTACTAATACTAATCCGAAAACCGGTTTCGTCGAAATTCTATATATTCTACGGCTTTATACCTAGTCGCTCTACTATCGCCTTAAACCGATTAAACTACGCCCTTATCGTCGAAGGGTTATAGGCTTCCTTACGCTACTTCTTAATAGGTTTAGACTTTACCTTGCTAAGGTTATACTAAGCTAGGAATCGTTTAGCCTAGTTACTACCGAATAGTAGTATAACCTTATTAGGCGACATTCTCTTTAGTATGTTTATAGCAATAACGCTAATTAGCGCTACTAGTAAGAACATCCCTATTTCGTCCCTCTCTCGACAATAATCCGCTAGCGCTAGCTCTTAAGCCTCTATTAACTTAGTATTAGTCGGCGGCCGCGATAGGAGCGATAGACGGCCTCTTAATCGCTAGTATATTCGCGAATATAGGTCGGTTGCCCTCTTAATCCTATATACCTCTCGTATACTAAGATTAACTAATTTAGCCTACAGTTTATAGTACCTCGAAACGACGCGTTCTACTATCCTTTCCGCCCTCTCTGTCTTAGTTAACTGCTTAGTACGTACCCTTTTCGCCTTTTTGCCTTTTTTACGCCCTATAGCTACGATTATATACAATCTATATAGTAGAAGAGAAGGAATAGGAGAATACGCGCTTTAGAATAAGGTAGACGCGCCTGCTAAGGATTATATAAGAAAATGGCGGCAGTAAGGTCTATAGCTACTATATACTCGGACAAGGCTATCTATATAATATTTGGACTCGCGGTTTATAATAGCATCCACCTAGATATCCGAATAGGACTGGAAAGTACGATTATATCGAGATTTACGTATGGCCTACTAACAAATCGCGATTTTACGTATAGCCCATTTCCCCGCGATCAGCGGGCGTGAAGTGACTGACGAAACCCCGGATATTCCGAACCGAAGACGATGAGAGGCGGCATCCAGTGCTCAAGCCAGGATCTGTGCAAATCGCATGGAGAGTTTCTCGGTGTAGACTACCAGGAACACCAGCGTCAGGTCAAGGCGTTGCTAACCTCTCCGCCCTAGGGAAGACCAGCAAAAATTGCAACATCGAATGTCACATCTAGAAAGCCCTTATATGCAGGTCAGCACTGTGTATTGACGGCCAAAGCGATAGTGGAGGACCACCCAATCGTAATGGATCCGCTGATACATATTGAGCTGTCAGCCGGCAAGTTAAGAGAACTCCAGCATTGATCGAGAGTGCGCTCAGGCGGTCAGCTCGGCGCCGAGAGAAAGACAATGTCTCCGTCGAACGAAAATTGAATGCAACAGAGCAATGCTTTAGAGAGCGCAAGCTAGACCTGCCGCAGTTAAGCGACCATCTCATCGCAGGTGAGCACTATTCCAGGTCTCACGTACTTCGTGAGCATTTTGTCGTTACGGACTCATCCCATGTAGCAGAGGTGGGCCTTTCTCACGTACCACAGGAGCATCGTATGGCACGAAGAGCGAGCCAGACTAGTCGTTCAAGGAGGCGTAGCCGGGGTTCATTCTTGAGAAACCTCTCTCTACTGTATCCGATCAGCCTTGGTCCACTCTGCTTGTCGGCTGCATGCCCGAGTAGTTCTGCCTACCTGGCGACTCGCGAATGCAGTAGGCTGGCATTGCCGCAACAAGCACAACCTGAGGTGAATGAGGGAAGCCAATAGGCAGCCCAGCCTATTCCCAATCAGCTGCACCGTCTTCACTTGCGGAAGGCCGCTAAAGGCGCTGCAGGCATGAGAGTATCGGACCATCCCCATACATGAATATCGTATGCAATCGACAAGATCGGTTCCACTGCTTCATTAACGCATGCATGTCATTCGCGGGAACGACCATTGACCGAGCCATACGACGATCTCCCGAAGCCTCCAGCCAGTTTAATCAACGATTAATGCGACTGTCATCGTTCCAGGTAAGTGAGGCCGCGAATAATAACAGCAATCTGAGCTACAGCTTGCCTCAAATGATCGCCAGCGGAACGCCATAAAGTGTTTGATGCGACACTCCCAAATCCCATCGCAAAAAGCTAAGCCCCACGCGAACAATTGTTCACTCAAAGGCTGTCGTTCTCCCTCGCATTGGGTTGCGTTATGGATTGGTGGACTCTTGTCGGGATATTTAACTGGTTGTTTTGTACCGACTCGCGTGTATAGCCTATGCATCGTCTATCATCAGTGAAGTGAAGTCCGGGCCGCGGACTATGCTCCAGACTATATCATGCATATACGGTATGCAGGTGTCCTCGGCTTGCCGACGAATGCAGACGGATGGGGTAAGCTTTGAAGATCTTTGCTGCAGGAGAGTAGAGCTTGAGCGGATAGAAGGCGATCTTATCTCGTACTGGAAGCGAAGTGTCGAAGTGCTTCTGCAACAATCCTGAAGATCGAAACGCTGAAGAAAGAGACCAGCAGGGGAAGCATGAATAAGATGCCAGTTTTGCTTACATAACCTGTACAATATCTCCCGCAGCGTAGATCGCTCGCGTAGCAAGCAAGTCCTTTCGCCAAGGCCAGGGAAACAGCAAAAAAAAATGCATCATAGGGTATCATACGCGATCAAACAAGATCGTCGGAGAAAGCGGAAAAGAAATCGTCCATCTTCCTGGTCTTTTTGCTCTTTTTCAGGCGAGCAACGGGCCCTTCAGTAAGGGCTTTGACCTTGTCTTGCAAGATATCCGAGCTTGAGTACAGGCTCGCACGGAGCTTGTACAAATTTTGTGACTTGATGCCTAGGTGAGTGTAGGCATCGCACTTGTAGTAAATACGTCTGCCTTCGTTCGAACAGACACCAATATCAACAAGTTCTTCCAGAACCCGGCGCACGTCTTCGCTGTCGGTGAAGTCGTAGGTGTAGATGCAAATGACGGTTTCCGGGTCCTGAGGATCGAACACTGCACTTTTCGCCGTAGGACCCAGCTTGCCTCGACAGGTTGCCGTGGCCACCAATCGCCAATAACGAGGTAGATCGGCCGCTCCAGGAAACAGCATCCACTTCCCGCAAGTAACACCCATCTCGACTGCAAGGCCAAGAATATCACATTCGAGCTGGTCTCGATAAGGCCCCATTCTGCGCGTGATAGCCGCCTGTGATTTACCAGACATCTCGTCCTCAATTGCCGCCTGTTGAGTCAGGTACTTTTCGAGTAGACTTTCGGCGCGCTCCTCAAAAGCAAGCAGATCGTAGTGTTTACGGCTGTTGACATGGGCGTAGGGCTGCTCCGGACTACCGACCCAAAGCCAGCCATCTAGAGTGGATGTGTTAGGGTCGCCAACCGGCAGGCGCTTCAAGAAAGCGTCGATGGTCTCCGTTTGCTGCCATGCGCATGGATGACCTTTGAAGCGGTCGACACTGACGAGGTCAGGCTGAGTTTCGCCCGCAACTGTGCGGGCAGGCTCTCTACACTTTGGCTTCAAGCCGTCGTCATGAGACTTTTGCAGAGCGGACAATTGAGGCCGCGACTTTAGAAAGCTGACCACATCGTGGCCGGCGTCCGCTTTGCCATGCACGGGCTGGTTTTGCGTTGGTCGAGCCTTGACTTCCAATGTGCCGTTCTCCGATGGCGAGCGAGGAGTCTTGACCTTCTTGGGAGAATGCTGAGCCATGAATGCCTTATGACATCGCTTCGTGCCTCTACCGCACTCTCGCTCGAGCTGACCTCTGACATTCTCATCTCCTGTTGCAGAGTGTTAAACAACGCGTGCATTTCGGAGTCCACGAGAGCTTACCATAGAAGTCGGACTCGTCCGAGATCCAACCAGCGCCGTCGACAAGTCGGTCGTCCGCCATTACGGCGAATTACACGCTGTAGCCGAATCTTACATGATTGCTGTCCATGAGACGATGGAGACGGACTTTTGGGAGCTCAGAGTATACTTTGCGCTAGCGGCTGGGCGGGACCGGCAGCGGGAACTTTCGACAGTGGCGCGTCGCGTGAAGTCGCGTCTGCTTGAGACACAGAACACCATCAGAATACCTTGGGAATTGCATATCCGGCAGCGCACGCCCAATATGCCACAGGCAATCTCGCCGGAGAGAGGCTCTGCATCCAGCCAGGATGACATTGCTCTGCCAGACGCGCCTGCCAGCGGCGGTGCTGAGCAGAATGACGTCGATATGTCAGATATGCCCAAGGTCGAAGCGACAACATCGTCACAAGGCTTAGAAGACATGTTTGACGACGATGGCGATGACGACTCCGAAGACGAATTCTCCTCCAGCGCCGCAAAACGACCAGACGACAACTCACAGCCACAAGCACCCGCAGCTGCGCCCAAAGCGAAGTTCTCTGATCCAGACACCCTTAAGCAATACTACGGACGACTTTGTCCCTTCAGAGAGCTGTTCCAATGGTTGAATCACTCAGCAACCCCGCAGCCAGATTTCCAGAATCGAGAGTTCTCATTCTGGCTGCCAGAGAATAGAGTCATTCGATACCTGGCGTTTCCCTCTGCCGATCTGCTTCGAAAGGAGTGCGTGCAGATGGCTCCAGAACGTTTCGAGATAGGGCCGCAATACTCGATCAATCCCAAAGACAGGAAGACGTTGAAGAAAGCGTCTGCCTTTAAGCCGGTCATGAAAGAGCTGGTCTTCGATATCGATATGACAGATTACGATCCGATTCGCACGTGTTGCTCAGGCGCCAAGATCTGTATAAAGTGCTGGCAGTTCATTGTTATGGCCATCAAAGTGGTCGACACCGCCCTCAGAGAAGATTTTGGATTCCAGCATATCATGTGGGTTTATTCTGGACGAAGAGGTGCTCACGCCTGGATCAGCGACAAGCGAGCACGAGAGATGGACGACAGCAAGCGCAAAGCTATTGCCAACTACCTTGATGTAGTCAAAGGGAACGAGAACAGCAAGAGAAGCCTCTTCAGGCGGCCTCTGCACCCACATTTGGAAAGGAGTTTGAGAATATTGAACCCATACTTCACGAAAGACGTTTTGGCCGAGCAAGATCCATGGCAGTCTGAGGAAAGAAGCGAGAAGCTCCTCGCTTTGCTTCAGGATCAGACCTTGACAGCAGCGTTGAAGAAGAAGTGGGACTCTTCAGCGGATCGAAGCTCCAGCCAAAAGTGGGCAGACATCGATACGCTGGCTGAGGCAGGCCACTTGTCCATGGATCCTCGACGACTGGTCGACAACAAGCAAGATATCAGATTGGAGTACACGTACCCTCGACTGGATGCTGAGGTCTCCAAGAAACTGAATCACTTGCTCAAATCGCCTTTCGTCATTCATCCTGGCACGGGACGAGTGTGTGTACCCATAGACATGAGGCGTGTAGAGGACTTTGACCCCTTCTCGGTGCCCACCGTCTCTGATCTACTCGAAGAGATTGATCAATGGGAGAAGAAGCAAGGTGCCAACATGAGCAGCGAAGAGAAAGTCCAGGTCAAGGACTGGCAAAAGACGAGCTTGAAGCCATACATTGACTATTTCAAAGGCCATGTGAACAGTATTCTGAAAGAGGAGGGACGAGGGAAGCGCGAGCGAGAGGAAGACAGTATGGAGTTCTAAGATGGTGGCTGACATGTCATATGATGTCTGCGACTTCTTACGCTCGCTCTCTGATTCCCATCGAAAGGCATAGGCCTCTCAGGATTCTCGGCCGCTTTGCTTCACTGGAAGTTTACGACACATGACAAAATGTCACACAGCATAGGCAGAGTTCCCCTCAGCTGAGTTATCGACCTGGCATGAATCCAATCGAAAGCCATTGCTATGTTGATTCACATGCGATAGTGTTCCTCATTCTGGACCAGATATACCACCCAGAAACTTAGTCATGCACACGGCTGCGTCACCATTCGCCTTTAGGCTTGGAACATCATGAAGAACCGAGAAGGGCACCAGCGCAGCATGCCATGACGGAGTCGAACCAGTGTCCCCCCAGAGAATACATCGACCTTCAGCAGAAAACCGGGGGAAAGCTTCACATCGAGCTGCAGAAGCTCAGCACGGTACAGAGACACAAGATGGTTTTTTTTTCAATTGTCACTGGGCGAAGCAGTGTCTTCTTCCGGATAATGCTCAAGGCGTATCGCCGCATAAGTCTAGAACGAGCGCGATACGGACATCACCTTTTCGGTCGCGGATTCCAGCCTCTCGCCCTTATCAAGTGTTTCCTCACAGGAGCCAGTGGACTCCAACGTCGAGGAGGTAGAGGTTCTCCGAATACCATCATTGCTTTCTGGCAAAGGTCTCTCTCTGGGCCCACGCCGCTCGTATTGACAAGTTGCATTGTCTCAGCCTAATGATTGGAGTTATGTTCAGTAGGCACGGCGAGCGCTTCGCAAGCAGATGACTGCATAATCAGCAGGATCGCTGGACCGACCATGATTTTGCACATGCAGTAATGCATTAATGCGAGAATATCGAGATATGAGAATCGACAAAAGTCGGCGTTCTGGAATGCCTCATGAATCACAAACACATCGCATTCGCTCAGATCCTGAAGTTTCAGGCAGGCCTTTGCCCATGCGGGTTATGGAACAGGAAAGTGCATGATCGTGAGCAAGCAGCGCATTGAGCGCGGTGCTAATGAGAGGGCGAGGGAGCCTGTGGCACCATAACTAATCTCGTTGAGTTGCAGTCAGTGCTGCCTCGGCAAGCTTGAAGTCGGAGAAACGTGCCTATACTTGTTTTCGCACAAGGCTCTCACGGAGTCGCGGTGCCACGTGTGTCCAATTGCATGCATCGAGTAGAGTATGTAGTGTGAAAGTGGTTGCATAGGACGGAAACGGAAACACAGCTTCGGGCAAGCCGGCATGCTGCAGGCAGTGCTTCCTAGAATACTTCCTAGTCTTTGTTTCTGCTGATGATGAAGCAGATCTTCCATATGCTGGCCTCGTACAGTAGTGCGCGGGTAGAGGCTGTAGCCGCTCTCGGGTTTCGGGTGCAGAACTACTGTAGCGTGCATGGCATGCGAGAGATAATGTAGGAGTAGATAGGAATTCGGGAATGATGGAAAGGCTCACCGCTGTAGTGATGAGCATCTGCTATTCTACAGTGCCAATCCAATACTTGGCGCTCCTACCGCGAAGGATCGAGAGGTCCAGAGTCCAGACCGGAGCGACGGGGCTGAGTGGGCGGGCGGTACAAACAACGCTTTGGGCGACCGATTGTGGAGACGCTGCTGCATTCACGGGCCCATCGTTCTCCAGACCACCAAACCACTCCCCATACCAACAACGAAGCGAATCGAAACACAAGCACGCACCCACGCACCTACGCACCTACGCACGCACGCACGCACGCACCCAAGCACACCGGCATTCAAGCAAGCAAGCAAGCAAGCAGCAGCTTTCCGTTCCCTTCCCTTGCCAAACCCATCCCAGCGGCGCCGCCCACGACGACGCTATACACTTTCCGGAACTACTATTGCCTGGCTATTGGTATCGATGAGGGAGCAGCTGCACGACCGGAGTCGCGATTATCACTGCGAGGTCTAGGTCGGGTGTTGTACGCAAGCGGACGTGTCGTGCTGGTGCTGGTGCTGGTGCTGGTGCTGGTGCTCGATGCGCTGCGGCTGCGGCTGCAGGTCTGATGCTGCGAGGCAAAGGCAGCGCCGCGCAATTCACCCACATGAGGCATGACACTCCGCAACAATAACACCAGTGACCGGCATGGCTCAACTGGCGCCGACTCGACGCGGTCCACCGACACTGTGAGGGGCCCGTTCACCAGCTTCACTGCCCATCGCCCGCTGAAGCTGCACACCAAGAGACAGCAGTAGGTCAAATGTGTTTTCTTCAATCGCGACTGCGACTGCGACTGCGAATGCAGCATGAGCGAGAGCAGTGTTGGAATGGAGGGTTAGGTGTCAAGGGTGCATGTATGCACGTATGCGACATGTGCTGCGTGAAAGCTGGTGCATCGTCAATGTGGACATGCGCGGTATGGGTCGTGGAAAGCTGCAGTGTATATCGATATCGAGCGCGCGCGCGCGCCCGCCTAGTGAATCACGTTGTACCATGGCAAGACACCCCAAGCTAACGATACGTTGTGCATAGACACGAGCGACGACCGACCGAAGACGTCTCGCCCGCTACCATTTCTCCCAAACCCACGCCTTCCAACGCGCGCTCCAACAGCATTGCACCATGCGACGACAGTCCCCATTCCGCCGACAACCTCGACAACCTCGACAGCCACGCAGGCAACATCCCTTCCATCAGTCGTCAACCTCCGACCGCGCATCCTTCAATGGGCAACTGGAGCGACGACCGGCCCACGCAAATGCAAATGCCGCAGTCCGTCTTCGGCAGCAGCTTCTACTTGAATGATTCGAATGAGAATCTGGGCCACATCTCCCCGGGCTATGCGCCTGGTCGGGGCATGAACTTCCCCACCCATGGCGAAGACCGGAGACCTTCAATCGCGAGCGCCACGACAGTATCCTCCACCGCATCCAAGACCAGCGTGAGGGATCGCATGCAAAAGAAGCTGCAGGGCTTCTTCGGTGAGAACGATGTTCCTTTGCATTCGGACAACACCAGCAGCAGTAGACAGAATTCCGAGACGAGCTCTATGCAGAATGGCCCGCTACCGCCTTTCGCCCCGGGTGGAGGCAATGCGCGGAACCGGAACAACTCCATGAACGATGCCATCATGCGCAGCGGACCACCGAGTCCGTCCGGGTCGCGACCACGAACACCTGCACCTCAGCCAAGCAGTGAGGTCACGCCGTGGGTCTTCCAGGACACCGAGGTAAGTTGCACAAGACAGCCTGTTGGAGAAGGCAATGTGTGGACTGCTCGTCTTCAAGATACTGTAATGACACTGCCACAGCATGTCCAAGGTGCTCCTGATTCGTTCTTTCCATCAGACCCGAACAATGCTCGCACTCCGAAGAACTCCACCGCATCCAGGTTGCACTTACCCGGACACAGGCATAATCGGTCCACCGACGAGAAACATAGCTACGCCTTCCCGCTGCGGCCTTCCACTTCCCGCGAGCAATCTTTCAGCCTCATGCGCGGCGGCAATGCGCCTTCGGCCGTGAGCTCCACGCTCAACCTGAAAACCACCGCCAGATCCACCAGTCCTGCGCCCAGCACACATTCTGCACAAAGTCAGCAGGTAAATCAACGTTCGCCCAATACTGGTGCGCATAAACGATCGCTATTCGACCGGGTGACTGGTAGACATAAGAATGATAAGGACACTCTGCAGTCCCAATCGGTCACTTCTCTGTCCACGCTACCGGGTATGCAGAAAGCAGCGACACGAGATTGGTCGGACAGCAAGGCGAAGCCGAAAGGGAAGCAGGAGTCAAATGGCGCAGCAGCGCAGAAGAAGCTTTCACGCATACCTTTTAAAAGTAGCAAGACTGTTGAGAATGGCGCCCAAGGAGGACAACAGCCGGTCAGAGATCCCAATGCGACTCATGCCGAAGATGGCGGTGCGCTCTGGCATCTCGATACGGACATGTCACATCTCGAAGGCATCGTAGATCACAAGCAAGGACCATTAACACCGCCGCAAAACGAAATATTCACAGGATGGCCGCCGGAGCAACCTGCACCACGAGCGCTGCCGGAGGAAGAGCATAAAGGAGCCTGGGATGCGCCAGACAGTTGGGCCGTGAACAGAGTGGCCGATGAGAATCTTCGTAGGATGACTGAGCTCGACGACGATGGTAATGTGATCCGAGACGAGGACCCAGGCCCGATGTACTTCATGAGAATATTCCGAGCTGATAGCACCTTCGCCGTCATATCAGCAAGTCTCAACACCACAGCTGCGGAGCTAATCTCAATGATGGCGAAGAAGACCTTTCTTCAGGATGAGCTCAACAAATATCAGATCATTATGCGCAAACAGGATACGAGTCGACAGCTGTCACCTGGTGAAAGGCCTCTTGTTATACAGAAACGTTTGCTGGAAATGGTTGGTTACCAAGAGACGGACCACCTAGAAGATCTTGGTCGTGAGGATCATGGCTATCTTTGTCGTTTCACCTTTTTGCCATCCAAGATGAGCGGATACTCTAGTCTGGAGCGCGATCCTGGATTCAACAAGATGCAACGGTTCAATCACATTGATCTGTCAGGACGAAATCTGATCACGATACCGATCACGCTCTACCAGAAGGCGACTGAGATAATCACACTCAACCTCTCGAGGAATCTGACGTTGGACATTCCCAAGGACTTTATTCAGAGCTGTTCACAGCTACGTGAAATCAAGTACACGAGCAACGAGGCTTGGAAACTGCCGCCTAGCTTAGCACTGGCCAGCAGACTGACCACTCTGGATGTCTCGAACAATAGACTGGAGCAGTTGTCGCACGCTGAGCTGAATAAGTTGCAAGGACTTCTCAGCTTGAAGCTGTCGAACAACAAGCTGACCACTGTTCCATCGTATTTCGGCGAATACCGAGCACTGCGCAGTCTAAATCTTTCATCGAACTCGCTCACAGAGTTCCCTGATGCATTACGCAAGCTCACGACCCTGGTGGATCTTGATATCAGCTTCAATCAAGTCTCCACACTGGGGAACATCGCGACTTTGACGAATCTGGAACGTTTATGGGCGACGAACAACAAATTGTCCGGACCATTTGATGCTTCCTTGTCGGCATTGGGCAGTCTGCGCGAGATTGATGCTCGCTTCAATTCGATCTCGAATATCGACGTACTATCGCAGCTGCCAATGCTAGAGGCTTTGATGCTAGGACACAACTCCGTCTCGCAGTTTGAGGGCTCTTTCCATGGCCTGAAAGTCCTCTTCCTCAACCACAATCCGGTGACGAATTTCGACCTCAGCTCACCAGTACCGACGCTCTCCGTCCTCAACCTAGCTTCTGCGAAGCTATCGCGGCTTCCTGACGCTCTTTTTATGAAAATGTCGGGACTGACGAAGCTCACGATCAGCAAGAATCACTTCGTCTCGCTCTCCACTCACTTCGGTCTGCTGTCAAAGCTCGAATACCTGAGCATAGCGAAGAACGAGCTCAGCCGACTGCCAGCAGAGATTGGACGCCTGACAGAGTTGAGATATCTCGATGTTCGCGAAAATAATCTCAGCATGCTGCCTCCCGAGATCTGGTACGCGAAGCGGCTGGAGACTCTGAACGTATCCTCGAACGTGCTAGCAGACTTCCCGAAGCCTGGCGCACCTCTACCCGCTCTCCCTGACAATTCAGTGGCACTCACTCCCAGTGCAATCCCGACTAACAGTCCGGACTTCGAAGAGCTGGGCAAGTTGGAGGACTTCCAGCTGCGAAGGCCAAGTCAAGCTTCGGGCATGCTTAGTACAGCTAGCTCACCAGGGACAGCGTCACGCAAAGGTTCAGTGGTATCGTACACGTCCACGAAAGGCCCGCTTGGTAGAACCAGTACTGCCAGCAGTACAGGCACGATAACACCGTCCGGTGGCTCACGAAAAGATTCGACGCTGTCTAGTAGGTTAGCTGCGACGTTTTCAACTTCGTTGCGTCACTTGTTTTTGGCAGACAATCGGCTCGAAGACGATGTGTTCAATGAGCTGGTCTTGCTCCCAGAGCTGCGTATCCTCAACCTATCATACAACCAGCTTTACGATGTCCCTCCAAAGACCATCCGGAAATGGACGCACTTGACGGAGCTGTACCTATCTGGGAACGACCTCACATCGATACCTTCTGAGGACCTTGAAGAGGGATCCTCGTTGAAGGTGCTGCATTTGAACAGCAACAAATTCCAGGTCCTGCCTGCTGAGCTGGGAAAGGTTCAACGACTTGCAATTCTTGATGTTGGAAGCAATTCGCTCAAGTACAATGTATCGAACTGGCCGTACGATTGGAACTGGAATTGGAATCGCCAGCTGAGATATCTCAACTTGTCAGGCAACAAGCGGCTGGAAATCAAGCCCAGCGCACAGTCGCTTACGGGACGAGATCAACGTGACTTGACAGACTTCTCTTCACTCGTCAACTTGCGGATTCTGGGCCTGATGGATGTAACACTTACCATTCCCTCCGTACCAGACCAAGCTGCAGACAGGCGCGTCCGACTCGCTGGTTCCATCATTGGCAACACTATGCCATATGGCATGGCAGATACTCTCGGTCGCAACGAGCATCTCTCGACCTTGGACATGGTCGTCCCACGCTTCCGAGGACATGAAGATGAAGCACTGATTGGCCTGTTCGATGGTCAGTCGCTTTCGTCAGGTGGCAGCAAGGTTGCCAAGTTCCTGCATGAGAAGTTTAAGCATCACTTCATCGAGGAGCTTGAGAAGATTCAGCCTGAAGAGACCCCTGCTGACGCGCTCCGGCGAACGTATCTCGGGCTCAACAAAGAGCTTGCAACCGCAGCCACCGCTGCCATGGAATCGAGAGAGCATCCAAGCGGTGCAATCGTGCACAGGGGCAGCGTCAGCGGACCAGAGCTTGGAGATGATGATATGACTTCGGGCAGCACGGCTACAGTAATGTACCTCCACGGCATGGAGCTGTACATTTCGAACGTTGGCGATGCTCAATGTCTACTCATTCAATCGGAAGGTGGTCACAGAGTGATTACACGAAAACACGATCCTGCTGAAGCTACCGAAAGACAACGTATCAGAGAGGCTGGCGGTTTCGTGTCTCGGCAAGGAAAACTAAACGATCAACTCGATGTCTCCCGAGCATTTGGCTTCGTGCAACTCGCTCCATGCGTGATAGCAGCACCGCATGTCAGCAAACTGGACATCAAAGAGTCAGATGAGATGATCTTGTTGGCTTCGAGAGAGCTGTGGGACTACCTCACCCCAGACTTTGCAGTCGATGTTGCGCGGCAAGAGCGAGGCGACCTCATGCGTGCTGCGCAAAAGCTTCGTGACTTGGCCATCGCATTCGGAGCGACAGGCAAAATCATGGTTATGATGGTCGGCGTGAGCGATCTACGCAAGCGTGAAAAGGCGAGGTTCCGGACACACAGTATGAGCATGGGTCCGTCTGGCTCGCCTGACGATTACTTCACCACTGTTCGCAAAGCCAAGCGAGGACGCGATGCAGTCGGCGACTCCAAGCTTGCCCGACTTGACCAGGAAGTGGAGGCTCCTACAGGAGACGTCACACTGGTGTTTACAGACATCAAGAACTCTACCGTTCTGTGGGAAACGTACCCGATCGCCATGCAGTCTGCCATCAAGATGCACAATGAAGTGATGAGACGGCACCTGAGAATCATTGGTGGTTACGAGGTGAAGACGGAAGGTGATGCCTTCATGGTTGCCTTCCCAACCGTCACTTCTGCGTTGTTGTGGTGCTTCACTATCCAGAGTCAGCTACTAGAAGTCCAATGGCCGCAGGAAATTCTCAAGAGCGTACACGGCGAGGAGATGCAAGACGCTGACGGCAATGTCATCTTCCGCGGTCTGAGTGTGAGAATGGGAATCCACTGGGGGCGACCTGTATGCGAAATCGACCCCGTCACGAAACGAATGGACTACTTCGGGCCCATGGTAAATCGCGCGGCGCGCATTGAGAGTGTCGCAGATGGCGGTCAGATTTGCGTAAGTTCTGACTTCATTCAAGAAGTGCAACGCATGCTGGAAAGTCACATCGAATCCGACCGAAGTGGCTCTACTGGATCCGAAGATACTCTGAACGACGACATGCTTTCTCAAACCATCCGTCGCGAACTTCGCAGTCTTTCATCGCAAGGCTTCGAAGTGAAAGATCTCGGCCAAAGAACGCTAAAAGGTCTGGAGAATCCTGAATACATCTACCTCATGTATCCTCACAGCCTCGCATCCCGTCTCGTCATCCAGCAACAGAAAGCTGAGGCAGAGTCTCGTGTGGCTCAAGCTAGTGAGACGGAAGCGAAGAAGATGCGAAACAGCGGACTCACTATCGACACGGATAACGTGTGGGATCTATGGAACGTCAGTCTCCGATTGGAAATGTTATGTTCCAGTCTCGAAAATCCCGGAGCCAAGACCCTCAAACCTCCCGAGACGGCGCTTTTGGAGAAAATCAAGCATGGTGGTGGTGAGATTACTGATCGATTTTTGATCGGGTTTGTGGAGCATCAGATCAGTAGGATTGAGGTAAGTCACGAAGGAGCGAAGCACGAGTCGAGCCAAGCGAGGTTGTGGCTCCTATGTATGCGGCTGCTGATCATTTTTACAGACATGCATCTCAACGCTCGCCATCAGAAACATGATCCGACCCTTCCAAAACGGCATGTTATCCCAAGCTTGTCCCATGTCGGACATTTTGACGGAGTTGACGAGTCAGCTTGATGAACTGAAGACTTTGAAAGCACAGCAGGAAGAGGAGTTTGGGTTTGAAATGGCGCCTTCATGAGCAAAGCAAGAAAAGAGCGTTGTCAAAGCAAAGCAAAGCAAAGCGTAGCACAACACATTGGGATGGGTGGGGGTTTCGACCTTTTTTTTTTCTTTTCTTCTGGAGCATGCTGAGATGCAACAAGACTTGGAGAAATGGGTTTGTACTAGTATAATATCACACGGCAAGCGAGCGAATAAGCTGCTGCTTGGTTGGGGCATCATTGCGCGGCACGAAACTTATGACGGTGTTATGATTATTATTCTTACGGAGGTTTTTGGGGAGAAGGAAGCGGCGACGAAGATGAGCAGTAGAGATGTTGTGTCTGTGTGAGAGAGAGAAGAGATGTGGCTTTCCAAGAAAGAAAGATATAGCCTTGGATTCAAGGTGCCGTAATTGTCGAAATGGATGATTGTGGTTGAAGGATACTCCTGATCGAGTCTATACCGCCTGTGCCGTCTCCATCAATTCACAAACCGCATGGAAAACCGCTCTGGCCCTGTCATCCCTCTGTAAGCGTTCATTAACTCCTCCTCTCCCATCACTTCTCCTTCCCAATCGATCACTATGCCATCTAATCTTCTCCCTCTTCAAAAGTTGAACTAACTCTTCCACCTGCTCCTTCCTCGCAGTATTCCTGTCAAACCCACATTCTATCCTGCCAGTCCCAGGGTTTTGTGTATATCTCGGTACCAGACCTACCACACCCAAGAAGAAGGCCTGGGCGTTGGCTTGCATGACGGTTTCTTCGGACCAGTTCGATACGTGATCGGAGACGTTGGGGGCCCAGAGGGAATCTCGGGCCACGAGACCGCCGGCGTGCAGACCTCGTGCTGGGTAGGGGATATCGGAGGATGTGGTGGGAAGGGTGGTCCAGCGGTCGTTGTAAGCTTTGAACAGGCGCTTGGCTTCGTCTGGGCGGAGGATCGTGGGCGGAGGTTGGGGTTGGGGTTGGAAGGTGGTGGATGTGTATGCTGGTGGAGGAAGGTTTGGTGTACTGTTGCGTGGTCGTTTGCGTTCAGGCGGTGGTCCCGCAGCTACACGTGGCATGGAGAAGAATGTGAAGTGTGCATCGTCCGGAGCTGGACGGGTTTGTTCGAAGAGGCGTTCGAAGGCATCGAAGTGGTTTGCTGCTCGGGCGAAGTGTGCGTCGTGCATGTCGTTGAGCGCGCGGAACATCAGGTCTGGGCGATGCATATGAGAGTGGACGAAAGGGGAGAATCCGCCGAATGGGTCCAGGAACTCGTCGTCGAAGCTGGTTGGTCTTGGTTGTCGCTGTCGCTGCTGAGCTTGTATGCGCGGCCGTGAGCGAGATGTTGCAGGAGGTCTGCTGGTTCGGTGCTGAGTTGCTTTCGCATCGCTCAAAGCGCCGATAGCATCAGCAAGGGTTGATTCGCGTTGCTTGAGCTCGTCTACGATGCGTTGAAGGTCGGCTGAGCCGACGTGACTCTGTCTGGAGGCGTGGGTCAAGGCCATCTTGCAGGCCCGCACATTCCGCCGCTCCATTTCAACTGCATTTTCCAGCGCTTCGATCATTTCTGCCGCGGTGACGCTTTGTCTTCTGGATCGGGAGGGCCAAGGTTCTGCGATGGGCTCTCGTTCGGGCGCGTCATCGTAGTCGACTTCAATGTATTCTGGCGCGTTCTCCCGCTGCACGTGATGTGGGCCTCTCGTGTCTGTTCTGTCCGAGCTGGACCGGCGCTGCAGATTCGGTGGGCGGCGTTGTGGTATTCTCTGTCGTGGGGCTGCGGCTGGCGACGGGGACTGCGAAGGGCTAGTTCTAGTTCTAGTGCTGCTGCTGTTGTCTTGCCGACGTGGGGAAGTGCCGTCGACGATCCGGTCTTTCAAGCGACCCAGCAATGATCTACGATTGTTCTTCTTCCTCTGCGCTGCCGCTGCCGCTGCCGCTGCCGCTGCCGCGCCCTCGAGTGCGTTCCCATTCCCGTACGCAAGATGATCGTCGTCATCATCACTACCAGTCTGCATGTGCACTCGGCGCGTCGAACCCGGTCCCGTAGAGTCTCCGATGACTGTGTGCTGAGGATGCATTTCCGAACCACTGAGTGCTCGAGGAAAATGCTTGGCTTGTCGAGTTGGAGAGGGAGCGGCAGAGGGAGAAAACTGAAACGTCATGACGTTGAAGGTCAACGCTGGAGCCTGCACATGCCAACTCCACGCCCAATTCTAAGGCCTTGAATACCTCGCGTTGTCTTATAGATAAGACAGGCCACTTTTCTATAAGACGAGTAGGTCTACGATAAGACAGATTAAATACCTATAATTGACCGTCTTATCGTCACCGTCTATAAGACGGCTTAATTATCGATAATTAAGGCTCGTAGACCGCTAACTTTTAAAAGATAGGTATAAGCGAGATAGGCTCGCTTTTATAAGACAAAACAGTACCTTATCGCCTTATTTTATCGTAGTTTCTATCTCCTTCTAGTTTAGCTTAATATACCTTCTTATTAACTCGCTCTTTTATATAATAAACGATAGTAGTTCTCGTATATAAATAGTCGTAATACCGCCGAAGAAGGACTCGTCTACGCTACTTAATCCGAAGGCCGCTAAGAAGGCTACTATCGCTTATACGAAGAAGGAAGCTAAGAAGAAGGCTCTCGCTAAGTAGAATAAGAAGAATAAAGAGGTCGTTACGAAGCCGAAGAGGCAACTGCCGTACCTATAGACTAATAGCGAGATTAAGGATATACTATAGGAGTTTATTAAGCGTATTACGAGGTAGAACGATAACTAGGGGTTTCCGGACTCGGACGTAGCGGACGTAACGAAGGAGTTAAATACTAAGTATAAAGTTAACCTTACGCCGAAGTAGGTACGTTATAAGTTTAATACCTTCCGTCTAATTTAGAAGCGCTAGAAGGCGTACCTTAGAAGGATATCTAGATAGAATAGTTAGCCGCCTCGTACGGACGATAATAATACTAAAGATGCCTATTATAAGGCGTATCCGGACTGCTTAATATAGCGAGAGAATCTACCGGAGTTTTATAATAAATTAGAGACGTTGTTTAGCAATTAATTAGCGATAGGTAAAGGTACGAAGGAAGCCGATAAGTTATATACGCTAACAGCCGAGGAAATTAGAAAGAAGGAGGTTGTTACTATAGTTAACGATAATAATAACGAGACAATAGTTAATGCTAAAGATTAGCCTACCTCTAACGGTAAAGAGCGCAGTTCTTCTATTACGCCGAGTTTACTATTAGATAGGTCGTCGAGTATTAATAGCAGTATAAGTCGTAGTAGGAAGCAAGGTCCTTCTTTACTATAGAAATAGGTAGTTACTACGTCCTCGAAGAAGGTAAAGGATAATACTAGAGTTACTATTAAGCGCTTATATACTAAAGACACCGTTAGTATTGCTATTGCGAGCCTCGAGAAGCCGATTAATCGAGCTATTACTAGTATTAATGCTAGTAGAGCGTAGTTAAACGTACCGAGAGAGACAATAGTTAGTACTACTATCCGGAAAGCTATAAACTATAAAGGTATCTAAAAGCTTCTATTTAGCAAGCGTATAGCGCTCTAAGACCTTCTCGAGAATAAAGGAATAGCTAGTCGGGTACTTAGTTGTCCGGATAATAATCTCGAAGCGATGCTAAAGTAGTTATTAAAGAAGAGAGCGAATATCGATATCGAGGAAGAGGTAGAGGCGGAAGTGCCTACTACGGAGCCTGCTACCGCTATAACTCTTCGACCTCGCCTCGATTAAACTGTAGCTCTAATAGAGTAAGAATTAGTATAAGATATAAGGTAGACTGCTCCTTAGAATATACCGTTTAATTATCTAGCGTAGCAATTGTTCTATAGGTACGTTAAACAGCAGTTGCCGTCGATATAAGACCTCTAATTTAGAAGTTAAAGTAGTTATTACTAGCAGTAAGGGATAGAGAATATTGCCGGGGCAACTATATTTCTTAGAATATAGCGGCTTTATCTATACTATAAATTTAGGAGAAGATATTATTACTTTTTGCGTAAAGATATTAGAACGGGTCCCGAAGTTACCGTTACGGTTATTATTAGATATATTATCGTCCTAGAAACGAGCTGTTTCTTCCTCTAGATTAGTATATATATAAAGCCAAGATCTAAGCTTAGCAAAACTTATAAAATTTGACTTTATTACGAGTTTCCTTAACAACGCTATAACCGATTTTTATCGTTGTTTTTTTATATAAAGCATCTGCTAATCAACTCTTAACTAATTTAAACAAATAAAAAAAATAGTAGTATTATTATAGGGATAAAAGCGACGTAGCAATAGAAGTCGGATTTTAACGCTAAGCTCGGACATACCTGCACTTTATAGTATAGGATCGATTAGAGGACGGCGAGAGTAACGAGAGTAATAATAATATAATCTAGCATCTTTCCGAGGTTTCGGATTATATTAGAAATACGCGAATTTAGTAAGAAAATACGCTAAGACTCGTACGTACCGAACGAAGCTAAGATTTCGTACTATCTACGGATACCTGCTATTACTTCTACCTCCTCTAATACCCTCTAATAACAATACTTAGTCGTCTTCGTACGGATTGTTTACTTCCTTCCTTATATAATAATCTTGCTATATACTCGTCGCTATCTTATTACGGTATACCGCTATTTTACTACGTGCCCTTATCGCTTCTTAATCGATCTCCGCGACCTTATCTTTAATAACGTTATCTATATTAAACCTAGTATTACGGTCTTTAGGTTTAATAGTAAAGTCTTCCGTCTCGAGCGTTTAACTATAGCGATTATAGAAGTTATTAAGAGCGTATATAGCAACGACAAACCGCGCCTACTAGATAATACTATATTCTTTGTTTAGTCCGAGATTAAAGATCTAGTACTTCGCTTTATAGATACTAAACCGGCGCTCTACGTAGTTACGGAGCTACGAGTAACGAAGATTAAATAACTCTTCCTTCCGCTTAGGCTTTATCTCCGAAGCGTACTATTCGCGAAGGTAATATCGTATCTTCTAGTACGGTACTAGTGTGAGAAGGGTTATGTCAGCAGGTAGATAGGGTAGTAGTAGGTACGAGTAGTATTCGATAAGGAGCAAGAAGGAGAGGGAGGAAGGTAGGCAAGTTGGCCTACTGCCAAGCGCCAAGCCCTGCCTAAGGCATTAAGACCCTGGCTTTACTCGAGCCCGGTTATATACCAATCACGTGTAACCTCTTTAGTCCTAATACACGCTTCCCTTCTAAAGGCCGCGCCCTCGTAGCTAGTCTTTGTTCTAGTTCTAACCCCTACTACTGCTAACTTAGTAGGCCTAATAAGTCGCTTAGTCCGCGCTAAATTAAACGCACAACTACCGATTATATAACTATATCAAACTTCACTTCCAACCTAATATAATATACAACTCTAACTGCGCTATTCTTATATATAATAAAGTGATATATATCTACGAGAATAGAGGGCCTTCGACTAATTATAATACGAGCGCGTCTTCCCTACTATAATAGGTAGACGTACGAGGTATTGCAGCCCTGCCTCCGCTCTAAGTAATGTCGTACCGAGTTCTCTACGTCTACTCTAAAAGACCTAGAAATGTCCGCTCCGAGGGTTTGTCCGTTCCGAGGGTTGTTCTTATTGTTCGTAGTTTCGCTAGCCCTAATTAGCTAGGTTTAGTAGCCTTTAAGTATTAATCTTATCTTATCTTTTCAAAAAACACAGCTCGTCTAGTTTCTATAGGTAAAGGCTATTATAAGTGCAGTAGTAGAGGTTCGCCTCGCTTAAAGGGTTAGATAGATCGAGGAGTAACCTATTGTCTACAAGATCGACCCCGGCTAGCTTAGCTCTATAGTTTTACCCTTAGTTAGTCTATTAGTCGCTTAATCTTTTTAGGCGGCTTAAAGTTTTAACTTAGCCTTAAAGTTTTAATCAAACCTTTAACTAAAGGTGCCTTAGGCTCGTAGTATAGGTAAGGTTGCCTTCGCAAGTATAGCGATAATAGCAAGTAATATTAACAATAGCGGTACTAGCCGTCTTAGCGCCAACTTTACCTTGCTTCTAATTTCCTTCTTTAACTAATAACAACTCGGCAATACCGTTACTAATATAGCGGTGTCCTTCCTTTCTTAAACAGTAACACACCCTGTAACACTATTACTAATATAGCCGCGCCGGCCGCGCCGTCTTCGCCGATTGCCTAGGCCTCGAGGCCTCGACAGAATAAGGGAACAAGAGGGGGACCTATAGGGCGCGTTAGTAAAGAGGTAGAGCCCTTGAAAGAGTAGGCAATTAGTTAACGCGTCGTAGCGCGCTTGTTAACACTCGGTACGCGTTC